CAACAACAAGGGACCCTCAGAGTCCTGGTGTGGCCGTGTGGGCCAATGCATCAGACTGTAAAGTCATTTGAACTACAAGGTCGGTGGTTCAAGCTCATCAGCTGCTCCTTGGAAACCCTACACAGTATTGGCTATGGATCAGAATCAACTCGATGGCACTTCACAACAACAACAACAACAACAAGCCCTTGGAATCCTGGTGTGGCACTATGGGTTAATGCACTGGACTGCAAGGTCGGTGGTTCAAGCTCAGCAGCAGCTCCTTAGAAACCCTATACAGGATTGCTGTGAGTCGGAACTGACTCGATGGCATTCGACAACAACAACAACAAAGGAGTCCTTAGTGGAGTCTTGATGCAGCGCTGTAGGATAATGCACTGGACCACAAGGTCGGCGGTTCAAACTTACCAGTCGCTCCTCAGAAACCCTATGCAGGGTCGCTATGAGTCGGTCCTGACTCAATGGCACCACCACCACCAACAACAACAAAGGAGGCCTAGCAATGCTGTAGGATCAGCACTGGACTGCTAACTGCATGGTCAGCAGTTCAAACCCACTGCTCCTCAGAAACCCTCTCCAGGGTGGCTAAGCTTCAGAAGCAACTCCATGGCACTTAAAAACAGCAAGAGGGAGACTTCCTGGAACCCTCCAAAACCAGCTCACTCAGGTCCCCAAAGCACCCTGCCCTGGCCTCCATGCCCAAATTGACCCACTGGCCCCAGGACCTGAGGCCTACTGAGAACCATTATACCCCCAGGCTGCTGGGAGCTCTCTAGGGCCAACCCGGTCCACTCCCTGCAGAGCACAGGGTGACAACACTGAGAAACCACTCAGATCCCAGGACCTTGAGAAACGCTCACCTTCCTTGTGAGAAAATGGCCAGGGGCCACCTTTGCCGAGGGCTTGGTGGGCAAGCCTGGGAATGCACAGAGCCTGAGGACTCAGAGGAGGGTGGTGGGGGGAACTGGAGAAGAGGGCAGTGTGGGGCTGGGAGACCAGAGCTGCAGCCAGCATGTTCGCCCCGGGGCCAGGCGTGGCTCTCATAGTGCCAGCTGATCCGCTCTTGCCTGGCCTAGGCCCAGCAGCAGCGGAACCTTTGCCCATGTTACGTGGGAGAGAACAGGGGTGCTAGGGAGCACAGGGCTACCTTCCAGCTGCAGCCGGTAGAGCATGGAACAGCTGTCCACCACATCCAGCATGGCGCCACTGGCCTGCAGACTGGGCAGGATCTGGAAGATAAAGCCAAGGGTGCAGGGTGAGGGGCCTAGGCACTAACTCAGAGTAGCCATCAGCAGCCACCTCCATGGTCCCTACCACCTCAACCCTCAGGGATATCCCCTCACCCAGGTCTCCCAGTGGCACGAGGGGCACCCAGAGGCAGGAAGGACATGCCCGATGGGCTCTGGCTTCATCATCTCCCATTCCTGAGATCCAGCCCTGGCTCAGGAGACCCATCTTATACATTAATTCCTCTAGACAGCTGTGCTTGATGGGCCACCTGGTCTACCCTTCAGAGCAAGTCTCACCTTTTGTGCCTTACTACCAGATCTGAGCAATCCCCCCAAAGGATTTCTGAACCTCTTTGCTTTTACTGTGTAAGTCTCTCTGGTATCTGGTCCCCCAAGCCATATACCTTAGTGACCCCTGATTTTATATTAAGTCCTCCCTGGGGTACTTGGTGGAGTCCACTCAGAGGTACCTCAGAAGAAAGGCCTGGAAATCTGCTTCCAGATCAGCCACTGAGAGCCGTAAGGACCACAGTTCTACTCTGACACACGTGAGACATGACAGCAAATGGCTAGACTGGTTCTGAGGTTTCCTGGTAACTGTGAGCCAGGCTTTGTGATTTTCTCTAGAAGAAAGGCCAGTAGCCAGAACAACTCACTTAGCAAAGCAAACCAGTCTAGAACATTCCAGAAACTCTGAGATGGCTGAGATTACCCAACTCGATGTGTTCACCCGTGCCCACGGGGAGAACAGAAGCAATTAAACTCTCCAGCATGTGCTAAGCCGCAGGTCTTATAGGAGAACCGTGGTCTCACTCCAGCTGCTGGTTCTGGTTGGGACAGTACTGATGGACCCAGAGACCAAACACGAGGCAGATGCAGACTTACATGGTTGTCATAAATAGTCAGCGCAGCCTCGTAGTCACCCTGGAAAAACAAAGGTCCTGTGGTTTTTTGTTGCTGGGAGGTACCTTGGAGGCAGCTCCAACTAAGAACGAATCTATGTACAAGAGAGCCTAACACTGCCCATCCTGCACCTGCCTCATAACCACTGCTGCATTTGAGTCCATGGTTACAGCTGCTGTGCCCATCTGTCACGTGGAGGGTCTTCCTCTTTGTCACCGACCCTCCACTTTACCAAGCACGATGTCCTTCTCTAGGGACTGGTCCTGCTTGACACGTTTACATTTGGAGAAGGGAAAGTGAATTTGTTGAGAAATGTTCTGAACACAGTACCAGCAAAGCGGAGCACCCAGCCTTCAACCACCTTCCACTGGGGTGGGGGTGGGGGTGGGGGTGGGGAGGCGTGGCCAGGCCTGGGTCTTAGGACCCCAAGAGGAGGACAATGTTCTGCTCCAGCACAGTGGAGGCCCCGGCTGCTGCTGTGAAACAGGACTCCTGACTGTTGTTGCTGGTAAGGACCGTCAAGCCACTTCCGACTCATAGTCACCCTGTATGGGGTTTCCGAGTCTGTCAATCTTTGTTGTTGATAAGTGCC